GACAACCGACGCTGGACATGAAAAGAGTGTTTCCTTGAAAAGAAGCATTCAAGATTTGTTCCTAAAACTTTAAACTGAATTAGTTTGACGGACATTTTAATCTATAAGTGTCTTGGTTAGTTAATGCATGAGATTGCATTGTAGTGCATGTTGTTTGTGTCCGTTGTTTTGTGTATCTTGTGATTAGTGACGTATTGTATTGGATTATTGCCGAGTGTGCATGTGGCCCCGACGCGGTGGTCTAGTGGCTAAGGTACTCGGCTGCTGACCCGCAGGTCGCGGGATCGAATCCCAGCTACGGTGGCTGCATTTCTGATGGAGGCGGAAATGTTGCAGGCCCGTGTGCTCGTATTTGGGTGCACTTTAAAGAACCCCAGGTGGTCAAAATTTCCGGAGCCCTCCACTGCGGCGTCTCTCATAAACATATGGTGGTTTTGGGACGTTAAACCTCAGATATCAATCAATCAATTCAGTGTGCATGTGTGTGTGTTATTCGTTCTGCCGTACTTAAGAATACAATTTTGTTTTGTTATCGACTCTCGGCTCTGCCTCGTTCTTTGGACCACAGGTGACGTTTGCTGGCGCACTAAAAGGGACCAATTCTAAATTTTCCGTGTTTGCGTGGAGCGTTTTGGGGGGCCGAGACGTCTGCCCTTGGAATCAGCCTGGCAATTGCCTCCATAATTACGGAGTTAGTGACGTATATTCTGACGTCCATGACAGGATCTTTTAGGTGCACAGTGTGTCCAAAGTAGGCAGAATGAAACTCGAGTCGTTCGTAGTGCTACCACAACCAGTTTTTGTGCATAGTGTGTCCAAAGAAGGGTCAAAAAGCCTCGAGTCGTTGGTAGTGCTTCCGTAACAAATTTTTGTGTTGAACGTTGTTCTCGCTAACGAGTGTGCAGGAAGTTTTGATAGCCAGAGTGAGACGGAAATTTCGTGCACGCAGTAAGGTTTTATTTGAGGGGCACCATAGATCTGAAGAAGTTAGTCAAAATCGATTTGAATTTGGGTCTCTTTGGTGCCGAACTACGTACGGGGTACAGTGTACCAGAAGGGGGCAGTGGGCTCACTGTCCTGTGTCTGCGCTGCGCTGCCATCACCCTCCCCGCGTCGACAGATTGGGCGCCCACTAGAGGTGCTGCCACCAGTTTATCATGAGTAGTAAGTGATTCCTAAATGAAAAAGATAAAATTGAGCCCCGTAACTGTCTCTCAGGGAGAGGACACCTCCACAGTAGCTCACGAGAGACCGGAGAAGGAGGGTATCAGAGGATAGGATTAAAAGGTATAGAAATAAAGAGAGAGGGAAGGAGAGAGTGAGGCGCAGAGACAGCGACATCCAGAAGTAAGGTGAAGATAGGAAAGACGGACACGGTCACAGCAGTCCGAGGACGGGCCACCACTGGGCAAGAGCCCTTGTAACAGCATTTCTTGCTGTGTTAAGCGCGTTCGCGCGTCCTCGGGGTTTCGACGGTTAAACTGCAGCTTGGGGGTATTAAACACGGGGTTGAAGGGGGGAGAGGGCCTCTACAATGAGGCAAGAGATAAATATGTGCATTCACATAGAGAAGGGGTCAGGGGTCTTGAATTAATTATTTTTTAAACTGGTCCAAGTAGTTGCAGTATATATTCGTGTGCGCCCAGCTGCAGTACATCCCCATCATCATCATCCGCAGCCTGACTACGTCCACTGCAAGACAAAGGCCTCAACCATTTTCCGCCAGTTAACTCGGTCTTGTGCTTGCTGCTGCCAATTTATACCCGCAAGCTTCTTAATCTCACCTGCCCACCTAACCTTCTGTCTCCCCCTAAACCGCTTGCCTTCTCTGGAAATCCAGTTAGTTACCCTTAATGACCAGCGGTTATTCTGTCTACGCGCTACATGCCCGGCCCATGTCCATTTCCTCTTCTTCATTTCATCCATGATATCCTTAACCCACGTTTGTCCCCTAATCCACTCTGGCCTCTTCTTGTCTCTCAAGGTTGCACCTACCATTTTTTTCCATTGTTTGCTGCGTCGTCCTCAATTTAAACTGAACCCTCTTTGTAAGTCTCCAGCTTTCTGCTCCGCAGCTAAGTACCGGCAAGATACAGCTGTTATATACCTTCCTCTTGAGGGATAGTGGCAATCTACCTGTCATAATTTGAGAGTGCTTGCCAAATGTGCTCCAACCCATTTTTATTCTTCTAGTTACTTCAATCTCGTGGTTCGTCTCCATGGTTATTACCTGCCCTAAGTAGACACAGTCTTTTACAGCTTCAAGTGGACTATTACCTATCTCGAAGCGCTGCTCTCTTCCGAGGTTGTTGTACAATACTTTCGTTTTCTGCAGATTAAATTTAAGGCCCACCTTAATTCTCTCCTTGTCTAACTTCGTAATCCGGAGTTGCAATTCGTGTCCTGAGTTACTCAGCAATGCAATGTCATCGGCGAAGCGCAGGTTAATAAAGTACTCTCCATTAACTCTTATCCCTAACTGTTCCCAATCTAGGCCTCTGAAAACCTCCTGTAAGCACGTGGTAAATAGCCTTGGGAAGATTGAGTCCCCCGGCCTTACACCCTTCTGGATTGGTATTCTGTTGCTTTCTTTACGGAGCACTATAGCAGCAGTTGATTCCCTGCAGATTTGTTAGAGGGTGTTTATATATACTTCATCTACGCCCTGATTCCGCAGTGTCTGCATGACGGCTGATATTTCTACTGAATCAAACGCCTTGTCGTAATCTATGAAGGCTATGTATAGTGGTTGGTTATATTCTGAGCATTTCTCTATTACCTGATTGATAGTATGAATGTGGTCGATTGTTGAGTAACCCGTTCGAAATCCTGCTTGTTCCTTTGGTTGATTTAATTCTAATGCTTTCTTTACAATGTTAGCAATTACCTTTGTAAATAGCTTGTATACTACAGAGAGCAAGCTGATCGGCCTGTAATTCTTCAAGCTCTTGTCATCTCCTTTCTTATGTACTAGGATGATGTTAGCATTCTTCCAAGACTCTGGTACTCTTCCCGTCATGAGACACCTCGTAAACAGGATGGCTAGTTTTTCTAACACAATCTGTCCTCTATCTTTCAGCAGATCTGATGTTACCTGATCCTCACCAGCAGCTTTGCCTGATTGCATGCTCTCCAAAGCTTTTCTGACTTGAAGGTTGGTTGGTTTCCTCACTAAGAGCCGAGTACCTGTTCTGAAGCGAGACTCAGAATTCCCGTACTTTCCCTCTCAGTGCTAGCTCATCGATTGGCTTCTTGCGTATCAGTTTCTGTCGTTCCTTCTTCAAGTCTAGGCGAATTCGAGACCGTGCCATTCTATGGTCAATGCATCGTACCTTGCCAACCACTTCCACATTCTGCACGATGCCTGGGTGTCCACTCTTTATAAAGTCTATGTCGTTCTTATTTTCGCCATTAGGGCTCCTCCATGTCCACTTGCGGTTTCCTCGTTTTTGGTAGATGGAATACAAAGTCCGTAAATTATTGCGTTCTGCGAAATCTACTCGTAGCTTTCCTCTGGCGTTTCTAGTACCAACGCCATAATCTCCTACTGCCTGGTCTCCAGCCTGCTTCTTCCCTACCTTCGCATTAAAGTCTCGCATCAGTATACTATACTGTGTTTTTCCCTTACTCATTGCCGATTACCCGTCTTCATAGAAGCTTTCAGCTTAAGCGTGATAATGGCTGGATGTAGGCGCGTAAGTCTGTACCACTTTCATCTTCTATTTCTTATTCAGTTTAATTACAATACCTACCACCCTTTCACTAATGCTATACTGTTCCTCTATGTTGCCAGCTATGTTTCTGTGAATTTGGAATCCCACTCTCAGTTCTCTTCTGTCAGCCAAGCCCTGATAGCAAAGAACGTGCTCATTCTTTAGCACCGTATAGGCCTCATCTGTCCTCCTAACCTCAGTGAGCCCTATTATATCCCATTTACCACCCTCTTGTTCCTCGAATAGTACAGCTAGACTTCCCTCACTAGATAAGGCTCTAGCGTTAAACGTTGCCAAATTCAGGTTCCAATGGCGGCCTTCCGGATCCAGAGATTTTCAGCACCCTCTGCTGCGTTGCAGGTCTGACCGCCGCCGTGACCGGTGAGATGCTTCGCAGCTGCTGGGCACTGCGGGCCGCGAGGTAATTGACGTATGCATGTGGGAGGTAGTGGCCAGATACTGCACCAGGGTGGCAAATCCTTCTCTGGCGAGGAAGTGCTTTACCGGCGGTGGTTGCCGGTGACCCGCACCCCAGGCCCCTTACTGCAGTTTCATCACCACGCGGATTTTTTTAAAATCCGGTTGGGAGCTGTGCGGCACCGGGGTTCGAGCCACAGACCTTTTGCATGCGAGGCGGATGCTCTAACCACTACGCCTTCGCCGCCAGCCCCGCCGTTTGTTCTCTACCAGATCTCTAAATAAAGCTGACCGATCCCTTGATACAAATCTTAGTGGTACACTTAATTACAAAATACTCTCCTAAAATAGGCACGCATCAAACAATATACAATGAGTGGCTTCTAATTAATGTGCATTTTATCGCTAATTAGCACCACCTGCACTAAGTGAGGTGCCAAAGAATAAAAATGTTACTGGCCTGCGCAGGGATTGAATGTACGACCTTCGCGATTTAGCACGACGCTCTAACCGACTGAGCTAGCAGGCCGAAGTAGCGAGTGCGGCTTCTAAAACTGGCCATACGCCTTCGGTACACATTCGGTCATCATCAATAAATTGGTCTTTAGATTGTCTAGCTACACACCCGACACCAGGTGACGGCCAGTAAAACACATTAAAATACTGACCTGTGCAGGGATCGAACCTACGACCTTCGCGTTGTTAGCACGATGCTTTATACTGAGCTAGCAGGCCGCAGTAGTGAGCGCGGCTTTTAACACTGGGCATACGCCTTCGGTACACATTCGGTCATCATCATTAAATTGGTCTTTAAATTGTCTAGATACACACCCGACACCAGGTGACGGCCAGTAAAACACATTAAAATACTGACCTGTGCAGGGATCGAACCTACGACCTTCGCGTTGTTAGCACGATGCTTTAATACTGAGCTAGCAGGCCGCAGTAGTGAGCGCGGCTTTTAACACTGGGCATACGCCTTCGGTACACATTCGGTCATCATCAATAAATTGGTCTTTAGATTGTCTAGCTACACACCCGACACCAGGTGACGGCCAGTAAAACACATTAAAATACTGACCTGTGCAGGGATCGAACCTACGACCTTCGCGTTGTTAGCACGATGCTCTAATACTCAGCTAGCAGGCCGCAGTAGTGAGCGCGGCTTTTAACATGGGCATACGCCTTCGGTACACATTCGGTCATCAATAATAAATTGGTTTTTAAAATTGCCTAGCTAATCACCCGACACCAGGTGACGGCCAGTAGAACACAATAAAAAGTACTGGCCTGCGCAGGGATCGAACCTATGACCTTCACGTTATTAACACGACGCTCTAACCGACTGAGCTAGCAGGCCGAAGTAGCGAGTGCGGCTTCTAACACTGGACATACGCCTTCGGTACACATTCGGTCATCATCAATAAATTGGTCTTTAAATTGTCTAGCTACACACCTGACACCAGGTGACGGCCTGTGGAACACAATAAAAAGTACTGGCCTGCGCAGGGATCGAACCTACGACCTTCGCGTTATTAGCACGACGCTCTAACCGACTGAGCTAGCAGGCCGGAGTAGCGAGTGCGGCTTCTAACACTCGGCATACGCCTTCGGTACACATTCGGTCATCATCAATAAATTGGTCTTTAAATTGTCTAGATACACACCGACACCAGGTGACGGCCAGTAGAACAAAATAAAAATACTGGCCTGCGCAGGGATCGAACCTAAGACCTTCGCGTTATTAGCACGACGCTCTAACCGACTGAGCTAGCAGGCCGCAGTAGCGAGTGCGGCTTCTAACACTGGGCATACGCCTTCGGTACACATTCGGTCATCATCAATAAATTGGTCTTTAAATTGTCTAGCTGACACACCTGACACCAGGTGACGGCCAGTAGAACACAATAAAAAGTACTGGCCTGCGCAGGATCGAACCTACGACCTTCGCGTTATTAGCACGACGCTCTAACCGACTGAGCTAGCAGGCCGGAGTAGCGAGTGCGGCTTCTAACACTGGGCATACACCTTCGGTACACATTCGGTCATCATCATAAATTGGTCTTTAAATTGTCTAGATACACACCCGACACCAGGTGACGGCCAGTAGAACACAATAAAAAGTACTGGCCTGCGCAGGATCGAACCTAAGACCTTCGCGTTATTAGCACGACGCTCTAACCGACTGAGCTAGCAGGCCGCAGTAGCGAGTGCGGCTTCTAACACTGGGCATACGCCTTCGGTACACATTCGGTCATCATCAATAAATTGGTCTTTAAATTGTCTAGCTAGCACACCCGACACCAGGTGACGGCCAGTAGAACACAATAAAAATACTGGCCTGCGCAGGGATCGAACCTACGACCTTCGCGTTATTTGCACGACGCTTCAACTGACTGAGCTAGCAGGCCGCAGTAGCGAGCGCGGCTTCTAACACTGGGCATACGCCTCGGTACACATTCGGTCATCATCAATAAATTGGTCTTTAAATTGTCTAGCTACACACCTGACACCAGGTGACGGCCTGTAGAACACAATAAAAAGTACTGGCCTGCGCAGGGATCGAACCTACGACCTTCGCGTTATTAGCACGACGCTCTAACCGACTGAGCTAGCAGGCCGAGTAGCGAGTGCGGCTTCTAACACTCGGGCATACGCCTTCGGTACACATTCGGTCATCATCAATAAATTGGTCTTTAAATTGTCTAGATACACAACCGACACCAGGTGACGGCCAGTAGAACACAATAAAAAATACTGGCCTGCACAGGGATCGAACCTAAGACCTTCGCGTTATTAGCACGACGCTCTAACCGTCTGAGCTAGCAGGCCGCAGTAGCGAGTGCGGCTTTTAACACTGGGCATACGCCTTCGGTACACATTCGGTCATCATCAATAAATTGGTCTCTAAATTGTCTAGCTGCACACCCGACACCAGGTGACGGCCAGTAGAACACAATAAAAAGTACTGGCCTGCGCAGGGACCTAACCTACGTCCTTCGCGTTATTAGCACGACGCTCTAACCGACTGAGCTAGCAGGCCGGAGTAGCGAGTTTGGCTTCTAACACTGGGCATACGCCTCGGTACACATTCGGTCATCATCAATAAATTGGTCTTTAAATTGTCTAGCTACACACCTGACGCCACGTGACGGCCAGTAGAGCACAATAAAAAGTACTGGCCTGCGCAGGGATCGAACCTACGACCTTCGCGTTATTAGCACGACGCTCTAAACGACTGAGCTAGCAGGCCGGAGTAGCGAGTGCGGCTTCTAACAGTGGGCATACATCTTCGGTACACATTCGGTCATCATAATAAATTGGTCTTTAAATTGTCTAGCTACACACCCGACACCAGGTGACGGCCAATAGAACACAATAAAAAATACTGGCCTACGTGGGGATCGAACCTACGTCCTTCGCGTTATTAGCACGACGCTCTAACCGACTGAGCTAGCAGGCCGGAGTTACCAGTGCGGCTTCTAACACTGGGCATACGCCTTCGGTACACATTCGGTCGTCATCAATAAATTGGTCTTTAAAAATTCTAGCTGCACAGCCGAAACCAGGTGACGGCCATTAGAACACAATAAATGTAGTGGCCTGCGCAGGCATCGAACCTACGACCTTCGCATTATTAGCACGACGCTCTATCCGACTGAGCTAGCAGGCCGGATTAGAGAGTGCGGCTTCTAACACTGGGCATACACCTTCGGTACACATGCGGTCATCATCATTAAATTGGTCTTTAAATTGTCTGGCTACACACCTGACACCACGTGACGGCCAGTAGAACACAATAAAAAGTACTGGCCTGCGCAGGGATCAAACCTACGACATTCGCGTTATTACCACGACGCTCTAACCAACTGAGCTAGCAGGCCGCAGTAGCGAGTGCGGCTTCTAACACTGGGCATACGCCTTCGGTACATATTCGGTCATCATCAATAAATTGGTCTTTAAATTGTCTAGCTGAACACCCGACACCAGGTGACGGCCAGTAGAACACAATAAAAAGTACTGGCCTGCGCAGGGATCGAACCTACGACCTTCGCATTATTAGCACGACGCTCTAACCGACTGAGCAAGCAGGCCGCAGTAGCGAGTGCGGCTTCTAACACTGGGCATACGCCTTCGGTACACATTCGGGCATCATCAATAAATTGGTCTTTAAAAATTCTAGCTACACACGCGTTACCAGGTGACGGCCAGTAGAACACAATAAAAAGTACTGGCCTGCGCAGGGATCGAACCTACGACCTTCGCGTTGTTAGCACGATGCTCTAACCGACTGAGCTAGCAGGCCGGAGTAGCGAGTGCGGCTTCTAACACTGGGCATACGCCTTCGGTACACATTCGGTCATCATCAATAAATTGGTCTTTAAAATTGTCTAGCTACACACCCGACACCAGGTGACGGCCAGTAGAACACAATAAAAAGTACTGGCCTGCGCAGGGATCGAACCTACGACCTTCGCGTTATTAGCACGACGCTCTAACCGACTGAGCTAGCAGGCCGGAGTAGCGAGTGCAGCTTCTAACACTGGGCATACGCCTCGGTACACATTCGGTCATCATCAATAAATTGGTCTTTAAATTGTCTAGCTACACACCTGACACCAGGTGACGGCCAGTAGAACACAATAAAAAGTACTGGCCTGCGCAGGGATCGAACCTACGACCTTCGCGTTATTAGCACGACGCTCTAACCGACTGAGCTAGCAGGCCGCAGTAGCGAGTGCGGCTTCTAACACTGGGCATACGCCTTCGGTACACATTCGGTCATCATCAATAATTGGTCTTTAAATTGTCTAGCTAACACCCGACACCAGGTGACGGCCAGTAGAACACAATAAAAAATACTGGCCTGCGCAGGGATCGAACCTACGACCTTCGCGTTATTAGCACGATGCTTCAACTGACTGAGCTAGCAGGCCGCAGTAGCGAGCGCGGCTTCTAACACTGGGCATACGCCTCGGTACACATTCGGTTATCATCAATAAATTGGTCTTGAAATTGTCTAGCTGAACACCCGACACCAGGTGACGGCCAGTAGAACACAATAAAAAATACTAGGCCTGCGCAGGGATCGAACCTACGACCTTCGCGTTATTAGCATGACGCTCCAACTGACTGAGCTAGCAGGCCGGAGTAGCGAGTGCAGCTTCTAACACTGGGCATACACCTTCGGTACACATTCGGTCATCATCATTAAATTGGTCTTTAAATTGTCTAGATACACACCCGACACCAGATGACGGCCAGTAGAACACAATAAAAAATACTTTTCTGTGCAGGGATCGAACCTAAGACCTTCGCGTTATTAGCACGACGCTCTAACCGACTGAGCTAGCAGGCCGCAGTAGCGAGTGCGGCTTCTAACACTGGGCATACGCCTTCGGTACATATTCGGTCATCATCAATAAATTGGTCTTTAAATTGTCTAGCTGAACACCCGACACCAGGCGACGGCCAGGAGAACACAATAAAAAATACTGGCCTGCACAGGGATCGAACCTACGACCTTCGCGTTATTTGCACGACGCTTCAACTGACTGAGCTAGCAGGCCGCAGTAGCGAGCGCGGCTTCTAACACTGGGCATACGCCTCGGTACACATTCGGTTATCATCAATAAATTGGTCTTGAAATTGTCTAGCTGAACACCCGACAACAGGTGACGGCCAGTAGAACACAATAAAAACACTGGCCTGCGCAGGGATCGAACCTACGACCTTCGCGTTATTTGCACGACGCTTCATCTGACTGAGCTAGCAGGCCGCAGTAGCGAGCGCGGCTTCTAACACTGGGCATACGCCTCGGTACACATTCGGTCATCATCAATAAATTGGTCTTTAAATTGTCTAGCTACACACCTGACACCAGGTGACGGCCAGTAGAACAAAATAAGAAGTACTGGCCTGCGCAGGGATCGAACTTACGA